GTACAATTCTGCGCACCAGAATTGAAGGGAGATGTTGACAAGCTGGAAGGGGCATGTTTAGTCTGAAGAAGAGAAGGCTGAGAGGAGATATGATAGCCATGTATAAATATGTGAAAGGAAGCCACAGGGAGGAGGGAGCAAGCTTGTTTTCTGCTTCCTTGGAGACTAGGATGTGGAACAATGGCTTCAAACTACAAGAGAGGAGATTCCATCTGAACACGAGGAAGAACTTCCTGACTGTGAGAGCCATTCAGCAGTGGAACTCTCTGCCCCGGAGTGTGGTGGAGGCTCCTTCTTTGGAAGCTTTTAAACAGAGGCTGGATGGCCATCTGTCAGGGGTGATTTGAATGCAACATTCCTGCTTCTTGGCAGGGGGTTGGACTGGATGGCCCACGAGGTCTCTTCCAACTCTTTGATTCTATGATTCTAAGGGTGACTCAAATGATCAAGGGACTGGAGAACAAGCCCTATGAGGAGCGGCTTAAAGAGCTGAGCATGTTTAGCCTGCAGAAGAGAAGCCTGAGAGGAGACTTGATGGGGGCCATGGATAAATATGTGAGGAGAAGTCATTGAGAGGAAGGAGCAGGCTTGTTTTCGGCTGCCCTGGAGACTAGGACGCAATGGAACAATGGCTTCAAACATTACCAAACTGGGCCAAACAATAACCACAGTATAGGAGCCACCTTGACCCCCAATTCCCAGATCAAAGGAGGGGCTTTAAAGGGAGGAGAGGGAGAGCCAGGAAGGCCAAAAGGGTTGGATCTGTGCGGTCAGCGCAAGGAGCATCTTTTATAGAGGGACAGCTTCCAAAACTAAATGCACTTTTGATCAATTCCAACAAGACTATTTTTATCTCTGTTCCAGGAACATTTTAATCTCTTTCTTTTCCATTTTCTTTTGTGTGTGGGCTTGCGAGTCTCCAGCCTGAATGGTGTTAATTAATTCTTGGAAGGCTAATGAGGTTGCATTTGGTCACTTGCTAAGTTCTCTTGCTGTCTGATTTTGATTTATTGGAAATCATGTAGGCTTACGGGAAATGTAAAGCATCGTGCAGGCTGCACTTCGACGGGCACAGGGAGGCTACTGCTGTTTATTGACTTTCTGGCCTGTTCCGGCTTCCACTGCAGGGGGACATAATATAAGCTTCCTTCAAAGCCACTTTGTTGCAAATTTTGTGTTCAATTCAGAAAGGAAAGTGCACAACCCAAACTGGCTCTGAACTCATGCCGCGATATTTCATGGGGTGTAATGGAAAAATGATTCATTTCTGCGACACAACCACTGGGTACCGGCACTTCATGAGATACATGAATGTAGGAATGTTGTAGAAAAGTAGATAGCAAGTGGCCACAAAGTTTTGTGTACACAATTTTCTCCTTCCGGTAATTGGGAAAAGAGTGCCACAGGGCTGTCTACTCTCACACAACCTATTCAACTTGTATGCAGAACACATCATGCGATGTGCGGGACTTGATGAATGCAAGGCTGGAGTAAAAATTGCTGGAAGAAACATTAACAACCTTAGATATGCAGATGATACCACTTTGATGGCTGAATGCGAGGAGGAGCTGAGGAGCCTTTCAACCAAGGTGAAAGAAGAAAATGCAAAAGCTGGGTTGCAGTTAAACATCACAAAAACCAAGATGGTGGCAACCAGACTAATTGATAACTGGAAAAATAGAGGGAGAAAACATGGAGGCAGTGACAGACTTTGTATTTCCAGGAGCGAAGATGATTGCAGATGCAGACTGCTGCCTGGAAATCAGAAGATGTTTCCTTCTTGGGAGGAGAGCAATGCCCAGTCTCGATAAAATAGTGAAGAGTAGAGAAATCACACTGGCAACGAAGATCCGTATAGTTAAAGCAATGGTAATCCCCATAGTAACCTATGGATGTGAGAGTTGGACCTTAGGGAAAGCTGAGCAAGGGAAGAGAGACTCTTTTGATCTGTGGTGCTGGAGGAAAGTTCTGAGAGTGCCTTGGACCGCAAGAAGATCCAACCAGTCCATCCTCCAGGAAATACTGCCTGGCTGCTCACTGAAGGGAAGGATATTAGAGGCAAAGATGAAGTACTTTGGCCACATCATGAGAAGACAGGAAACCTTGGAGAAGAGAATGATCCTGGGGAAAATGGAAGGGAAAAGGAAGAGAGGCTGGCCAAGGGGATGGATGGTATCCTTGAAGTGACTGGCCTGACCTTGGAGGAACTGAAGGTGGTGACGGCCGACAGGGGACTCTGGCCTGGGCTGGTTCATGAGGTCACAAAGAGTTGGAAACGACTGAACGAATCAACAACAACAACAGTACTAATACTAGGCTTGATCAAACCCAGATTTCAATATAGTTCCATTACTTACACACCAAATCCAAGCTGGTGTCTTGGTGTCTTGCAGCTTGGACTAATTCCACAATAGTAATTGGTACGGGTGCTCCTATGTTGATTTGTTTATTTATTTACTATATTTATACCCTACCTTTCTAACCCAGAGGGAACACAAAGCAGCATACAAACTGTGGCAAAAATTCAATGCCGCCTCGTGCACATAACAATAAACATTCCATACTAAATTATAAAGCAGCTAAAACATATAAACAGTTAAAACATATGAATACAATAAAACAGAATAAAAACATACAAAGTGCTATGTCATAATTTCCATACTTCTTGGTCTTCTCATAGTCATTATTCAGATTGCTAGTTTGTCGAGTTCCATATTACCCTACTCCCTGAACGCTTGTGTACAGAGCCAGATCTTTAGCGTTTTCCTGAAGACCAGGAGGGATGGGGCCAATCTAATGTCACTGGGGTGGGCGGTCCATAGTTGAGGGGCCACCACCAAGAAGGCCCTGTCTCTCGTTCCCACCAGTCGCACTTGCGAAGGGGGCAGAACTGAAAGCAGGGCCTCCCCAGCAGATCTTAAAAGGTCCAGTTGGCTCATAAAGGGAGATATGTTCAGACAGGTAAGTTGAAGCAGAACCATTTAGGACAGTGGTTCTTAATCTGTGAGTCCACAGATGGTTGGCCTTCAACTCCCAGGAATCCTAACTGCTGGTAAACTGGCTGGGATTTCTGGAAGTTGTAGGCCAAAACACCTGGGGACCCACAGGTTGAGAACCACTGATTTAGGGCTTAATAAGCTAAAGCCAATGCTTTGAACTGAGCCCGGTAGCAAACTGACAGCCAGTGGAGCTGACGTAACTGTGGGGGGGGGGGGGGGTATGCTCCCTGTACGCCACTCCAGTGAAGAGTCTCAGTGCCACCAGACAGTCTTTAAAGGTAACCCCACAAAGAGCGTGTTACAGTAGTCTATTCGAGATGTAACAAGATCAAGTCTGGCTTGATATCACTTGTGCCTTCGGTTCTGAGTCCATGTTCAAGTCAATGATGTAAGTGAACATATCTTAAGATAGTCAGACTTTGGTGAGCGATTTCTGGTATTAGGATTCAAAATCCTCAGGTTCTAGACCAGTGGTTCTCAACCTATGGATCCCAGGCGTTTTAGCCTACAACTTCCAGAAATCCCAGCCAGTTTACCAGCTGTTCAGATTTCTGGGAGTTGAAGGCCAAAACATCTGGGGACCCACAAGTTGAGAACCACTGTTCTAGACCAACAAAATTGGGCTTTATAAAAGTAGAGTTCATCTAGCCCTTCTGCTGTTGGAATGGGTATCAGCAGATCATTCAGGCCATTGCACAAGTCTGGAACACTAACCAGACCAAGCCTTTAGTCAATGTGGAATAGTGAAATGACAAATGGAACCATCTTGGATTACAATTTTGGACTGTGTTGTTTTAATAGTTGGTTTTAATGCTGATATGTTTTAATTGTTTGATTTTAATGCTTATGTTTATTTCATTGTATGTATGTTTGTGGCATCGAATTGTTGCCTATTTGTAAAGCCGCTCTGAGACCCCTTCGGGGTGAGAAGGGTGGGATATAACTGTAGTAAATAAATAAATAAGAATGTTCTGTCGCGCACTGGGCCTGTAACAGCTGTACTTTTCTATAGGACGTATACTTTAAGCCCAGAGGGAAGCCAGGGCACCTCAAAGAGAAGTTCTCAGGGATTTTTCTGAAGTAATGGTCTTCAGAATGATACAACAAAGTCTTTATTATGGAACAAACAACAAATCTTCAATGGTTCAAACAACACTTCAAGGCTTTCTTAGTCTAGTCCTCAATGGACTGGTACCTGACTTTAATTAACTGTACTTTCTCTGTAGGAAAAAAAAAACCCTGTTTAACCCCTCCCAGGCTGTTTACTATCTATGCCTCATCGGTGTGGGTCCTACTACCACTTCCAAATGCATCTGGGTATCGAGTAGACCTACCAGCCGAGGCTTGTAGATATTTGAGCTGGAGTTCCATGGATCTGTAATGCTGTCCTCCCTCAGAGAATTCGTTGAAAACCTCAGGGTTGTTTTCCCTCTGATTGCTGTGAGGCTGAGAGGCTGTGAGCTCTCGGCCAGAGCCTTGGGACCCTTCTCCTGGAATTTCTGTTTCCCTGGATGCTCTTGAGAAAAGAAGCTTTTCTACGGGATGATCTGGTCTACATCCTATAGTTTAGTTTCCTTATGTGAGACTGCCCAAAAAATGGCTCCTTTCCCTCCCAGAGCCCTGAACAAGGGGCGGAACCAAAGCTTAATTATGATGGACAGGAGGCCTGCCCTATGACTGCAAACAGATAACAGAAAGAAAATAAAGTTGGAGCTCCTGGTACAGCCGTACCAGCACAAAGAATATGAATCCAGAAGTATTTCTACCATATTTAGAACAGTTGTTTGTCTTCACCTTTTGTATTATTGGAATACACATCTCATTTACTGTACATAAGCATAGACCTCAATGAATGTAGATTCATGTCTGGATGCAGCAACTTATGTGAGATTTTTGGTTGGTTGTTTTCACAAAGCATTGGCTTTTTGCTATCGTGTTTTGTTCCAGTTTCCCATTGACATATACTTAACCAGTGTTTTCTCACTTGTCTTTCCCTTCCAGTCTTTCCACTACGCTTCCCTGCGGGTAAAAAGCAAAAAATGGCCCAAAGGTAAGTGGATTGAACAATTGAGAGAAATAATAACCAAAGCTAATCAATTAAAAAGCTTTTAAAAATCTAATTTGGTTGTACTTCTCTTAGAAGGGCGAAAGTTAACTGTCAATGTTTCTGTGGACATAACGTATATTAAAATACATAGAACAAGATTAAAACACCCATACAAATAACATATAAAGTTAAAATTCATAGTTTTCAATTGACTGAATGAATATGCCAGAAGAGATACCATATATATTCAAAGATAAACCAAGTTTTTCAGCCCTTTTTGGGGCTGAAAAGGCCTCCCTCCACTTGCAGCAAAGCCTGGAGGCCATTGCTTGCAATATATGATTTATTTTTCTTTCCCTCCCTTAACAGTGTGTTTCCTTTTCCAAATCCTCACTCGCTCCCGCAAGAGGGAGAAAAGCCCTTGCAAGTCAGGAATATCCATTACTTTTATAAAAGCATTTTCCCCTGAAATAGTTGTTAATCACTCTTACAGATATATAGGCATTTACCCCTGCAAGCCTTTGCAATCCCTATGAAGATTTGTATCTATCTATCTATATACATTAATTTTATATATGAAATTTTCCATTCATATGTTTGCAGGTATTTGCAAATCCTATATAGATGTAATTATCTACATATACAAAGATGTATAGATAGATAGATAGATAGATAGATAGATAGATAGATAGATAGATAGATAGATAGATTTATAATGTCAGGAGCAAACCAAACAGTTGTATTGCATTTTTTAACAAACAAACAAACAAACAGCTTGGTAGTTGATTAAATGTCCTTTGACCAGTATCTGGCCACTTGGAGTGCCTCTGGTGTTACTATAAGAAGGTCCTCCATGGTGCATGTAGCAGGGTTCAGGTTGCATTGCAGCAGGTGGTCAGTGGTTTACTCTTCTCTACACTCGCTTGTCGTGGATTCCACTTTGTAGCCCCACTTTTGGACTCTCGCTTGCTGAGATAAATTTATGAATATAGATATATGTGGCTTGCAAATATTACAGGGGGAAATGCACACACAAATATATATAGACATGTCTAGATAGATATGAATATAGATCTATAGGACTTGCAAATATTGCAGGGGAAATGCAGAGAGAGAGAGAGAGATGTCTAGATAGATAGATATGATTATAGATATATGTGGCTTGCAAATATTACAGGAGTAAATGCACACACAAATATATAGAGACATGTCTAGATAGATATGAATATAGATCTATAGGGCTTGCAAATATTGCAGGAGAAATGCAAAGATAGAGAGAGAGATGTCTAGATAGATATAGATGACTATAGATATATGTGGCTTGCAAATATTACGGGAGTAAATACACACATAAATATAGATAGACCTGCCTAGATAGATATGAATATAGATCTATAGGTCTTGCAAATATTGCAGGGGAAATGCACACACACACATAGAGAGAGAGATGTCTAGATAGATATACACCTAGATATATAGGGCTTGCAAAAAGTGCAGGAGAGAAATGGACATATGGAGAGGATTTGCAAATATTTCAGGGGGAAATGCATATGTGAAATTAGTATATATAATTACAGATCTATATCTAGTTCTGTATTGTTTATATAGACATTGAATGTTTGCCTTTTACTATATTGGAAGCTTGCCTGAGTCCCCATGGGGAGATAGGGCGGGATACAGAAGTATTATTATTATTATTATTATTATTATTAAGTTATTGTTGATTCCATACTGTTTTTGTTGACTTTACTTTTCCACTTACAGAGCTAGTTTATTGTTTCTCTTTGAAACATGGTAAATATTCAAAAACATTGAACCCACTGATGCCTCAATTAATGTAATTTTATTGGTATCTAAATGTTTTTTTGAAATTTACCAGTAGCTGCTGCATTTCCCACCCTAGATTTATACTCGAGTCAATATGTTTTCCCAGGTTTTTGTGGTAAAATTAGGTGTCTCGGCTTATATTCTGGTTGGCTTATACTCGAGTATATATGGTACATTTGTAGTCAAATTTTTGATGAAGCCTGAACCGAAAAGCATTATCAAATGAGCCCGGAAAATGTCCTCTGCTTCTACTTCCCACTTTTTGTTGTCCCTGCTTTGAAGAATTTGGCTCCATCAATGTTTAGAAAACTAATTTCCCATTCAAAGCATGAAAATCTATTTTTCTCTACCCATTATAACCCAGTTTTGATACCAATACGTCAACGACTTAAATCTAGACATAGTTTTCTAAGATCTACAGAGACACTCGCTGGAACACCTCAGCAAGCGAGAGTCCAAAAGTGGCAGGCTCAAACCCAGCACCTCAACCAATGGCTGATACCAAATGAGAGAGTCCCCCCTGGGCACACAGAGGACTGGGCGACTTGGAAGGCGCTGAACAGACTGCGCTCTGGCACCACGAGATGCAGAGCCAACCTTCAGAAATGGGGCTACAAAGTGGAATCCTCGACATGTGAGTGTGGAGAAGAGCAAACCACTGACCACCTGCTGCAATGCAGCCTGAGCCCTGCCACATGCACAATGGAGGACCTTCTTGCATCAACACCAGAAGCACTCCAAGTGGCCAGATACTGGTCAAAGGACATTTAACCAACTACCAAACTCACAAGTTTTGTATTTTTCTGTTTGTTTGCTTTGTTCTGTTAGAAATGTAATATAATGGACTGGTTGCTCTGACACGACAAATAAATAGATACCAATCCTCCTCTCCTCCCTCCCTCATCCTGGAGCTGATCCAATGTAAATTATGCTGGATTGGGCCACAAGTTAATGGACATTGAAGATTACCAGAAAACCCCAGACATTGATCTGAAGTCCTTCTCACACTGGATTGAATTCAGAATGCCATGTCGAAAGAAAGACTTCTATTTTCAGATTTTAGTTGGGGAATGCTATGAGAAGAAGCCATACTAATTTAGCGCAATCTAAACTCTTGACTGTGTTTCACAGCAGTAAGACAAATATAATTAATATAACAATGCAAACTCAATTTTTCACAGTGAACAGTTTAATGTTTTAGTTAAATTTGTCCTGAGCTTTTAAGGGAACGTGATACAAACGCATGCGGGAAGGGGAAGCGCTGTTTCCGGTAATTTGAAAAACGGGGTGAGAATAAAAATTCTGGGTTAGCAAACTGAATGTTTTGAACTCACAAAATTAATATCTCTTAGGTGTAAAGAATTTAATCTGAGTTCTGTAAAGCCTGAATACTCTTAATGAAGATGATTATCAAATCAGTTAAATTGGCTTATGGCATACCGTATATACTCGAATATAAACAGACCCAAATATAAGCTGAGGCTCCTAATTTTACCACAAAAAACTGGGAAAACATATTAACTCGTGTGAAATGCAGCAGCTAGATACCCATAAAGTTACATTAATTGAAGCATGAAGCGCAGTGGGTAAAACCCCCGTGCCAGCAGGACTGAAGACCCACAGGTCGCAGGTTCAAATCCGGGAGAGGCGGATGAGCTCCCTCTGTCAGCTCCAGCTCCTCATGCGGGGACATGAGAGAAGCCTCCCACAAGGATGATAAAAACATCAAATCATCCAGGCGTCCCCTGGGCAACATCCTTGCAGACGGCCAATTCTCTCACACCAGAAGCGACTTGCTCCTGACACGACAAAAAAAAATTTGAGGCATTAGTAGGTTAAATGTTTTTGAATATTTACATAAAACTGTAATTTAAGATAAAACAGTCCAACTCGATTACACCTTTATCCTAGTCTTCTTCGATGTAAATGTGCTTACATAAAAATAGAGTAAAATAATAAATGTAATAATAATAGCGTAAAACAATGGAAATGTAATAATAACAATAATAATAGAGCAAAATAATACATGTATTGATAGAAATAGAATAAAATAATAAATGTAATAATAACAATAATAATAATAATAATAATAATAGAGTAAAATAATGTAAATGTAATAATGTAATAATAAAGAGTAAAATTATAAATGTAACAATACTAATAAATAAATAAATAAAGTAAAAAATAAATGTAATCATAAATACAGAAAAATAATAAATGTAATAAAATTAAATAGAAAAAATAATAAATGAAATAATAATAATAATAATAAGGGAGTGAAATAATGTAAATGTAATAATGTAATAATAAAAAAGAGTAAAATAATAAATGTAACAATAACAATAATAAATAAAGTAAAAAATAAATGTAATAATAATAAATACAGAAAAATAATAAATGTAATAAAATTAAATAGAAAAAATAATAAATGTAATAATAATAATAATAATAATAATAATAATAAACTTCTGTTTGATCCATTTACCTGAGTTACACAACGTTCCCCCATTGATCAAACCATTTTCCGCATACATTTTTATTGTGCATGATAATTTAAACTATTTGGTTCATAGGACGATTTAGTTCATAGGTTTATACCAGTGGTTCCCAACTGGTACTAGTGGTTGCCAACTGGTACAAGTGGTCTGCAAGAAGGAAAATATGGTCCACAGCCTCACCATTACTATGCAATTGCCTTGAAACCATGTGGCAACTAGACCAATTGGTCTCGCGAAACTCTCTTATAGTGCTAAGGCAACAGGGATGTCGGGACGGGAGAGGCTGACTGCCCACAAAAGATTGCTACTACCACATCAGCTCTAGATTATTAAATATATTTTTCTGTGTGCAAGCAGATGGCAACTCACCTCACTACCTCTGAGGATGCTTGCCATTGATGCAGGCGAAACGTCAGGAGAAATGCCTCTAGAACATGGCCCTATAGCCCGAAAAAAACCACAAGAACCCAGATGGCAACTGCTGGGTGACATATGTTCTGTATCAGAAACTAGGGATGATGTGGTCTATCCAATGCAATTTTCTGAATCAGCACCCCAAATAACCAAACTGAATCTAAAGTTGGCCAAAAACGGATTCGTAACCCTTTTGGTGCTAATGTTGGAGAGTGGTCCCTGGTCAAAGTGGTCCCTGTTCAAGTGGTCCTTGGTCAAAAAAAGGTTGGGAACCACTGGTTTACAACAACAAAAAAACTTTATTTATATACCACTCTATCTCCCCGAGGGGACTCAGAGCGGTTTCCTAATAACATAATCAATACATACAAGGAAAACAGCATAAACATAAAATTAACAAGACAATATAAGCATTAAAAA